GCATTCTTAAGGCTCAAAGTTCTATGTTGGTTGGAGACAAAGAGGATAAGATTGCTTATCTGAAACACAGCTTTCCGTATGGTCTTATTGGTAAGTAAATCTAATCTGCTAGTGGTAGAGGGAGGAAGAAAGGCTCAATTATATCATGAAATGCAAAATATCCTCCTTATTCGGTAGACGCGCAAGGGCCATTTCATCTTACTCGAGAGTATTCAGATTGCCAATGTGCAGACTCAAAGACTGGCGCACTGCAAACACTTTTGTATCCTTTCATCTCCCTTTCAGGTGCCCACGTCTTTGGCTCTTCTCATCTGCACACGAACATTGTCTTACAGGCATACTTGAATAAACAATTCTGTTGGGCTCCATGTTGCTTAGGTTGATTATTTCTCTTTTTCGCCTGTGTCTATGCGTGTCTTTGTGTGTGCTTGCATGAGCGTGTCTACGCCTAGTGGCAACATGCCAGGCGATCCAAAAAACATGTGCTACTAACTTTCGTAAATGGCCAACAACTACAAGGACACATTCATCCAATCCCCTCCACTGCCTTTTTTTGCTCGGCCACAGTTGTCACTTGGTGGTGAGAAAGTAAGCCAGCGACCAGCCTATTTTCACATTTTCAACTTCATTGCTGCGTTGGTTTTCCTTCGTTTTCGTCGATTTTCTTACTCAAATATCGAAACGTGTGCGTAATTAAAACTATAATCGGAAACTCTAAAGTCCTGCTCGTTGAGATGAGCCAAATCGTACTTGAGCATTTCTAGATTCTCATTCACACTTCTCCTCCAACCAGAATCATTTGCTAGACCTTTTCCACATGACGACTCGTGTGTGACAACATGTGTCCCATCGTAGCCGAGATCAAGTTTCCGCCGGTTCTGGCTCGAAGTGGCACCGAGCAGCCGTCCACACGAGAAGTCCGACTGCTGAAGCGAACAGTCCGCTTGATCCACAGTCTGTCATTCCAAGCCCTTTAGCTTTTCCAACTATTGCTTTACCGATTTCCATGGCGCTCAAGAGTCGAGCCTTCCTTTCACTCAACGAGCGTGTGGCATTTCTCCGTCTCCTGCTCCGTTGGCAGGCGTCCATCTGGAAGCTATTGTTGTGGGATTTATTCGTCTTTCTGGTCGCCTACATCGGCATCAGCCTGCTCTATCGCAGGGTCCTTTTGTACCACGAAGGTCTGCGGGCCGGTTTCGAGGGGTTTGTCCACTACTCAAAGAAAATCTCCTCCATCGTGCCGATCAGCTTCCTGCTCGGCTTTTTTGTCTCCACGATCCTACAACGCTGGTGGATCTTCGTGCACAAACTGCCACTCATGTCTGGTCCGGCCTTCGTGACGCACGCATTTGTCGGCAGCGAAGAGCAGATGCTGGAGAGGACTGGCTTTCGCATTCGACGCGCCCTCATCCGCTACATGAACCTGTCATGGATACTGCTGATGATCGGGTTGAGCTGGGAGATCAAGAATCGTTTCAAGCCGCGCATCAACTATCCGGCCTTCGTGATGCCCTACTTCCAGACCGCTCCGAGAGCCGGCAGATCTGTATGTCTCCCGAAGATCAGCGAGACAGAGCCGGCTATGTTGGTTGGGGGGCGACTGGGCCGAGGACAAAGAAATAGCTCCATTTTCGGAAGTATCCTCAGGCGCGAAGTGTCGCCGTCACGCGGCAGCGCCATTATCTCCGCGGCTGGAAGCGGCAGTTTCCGAGAGTCTGAGGCAGCAGGACCATCTGTGGAGAAGCAGATGCCTCTGCCGATGCGATCGAGGAAGTTGCCTCGTGTCGGGGTGACTCGCTGTATGGAGTTGATAAATGGCGATCCGGTGGTTCGTCGCCACTTCGGTCAGTTGATCACGCAAGAGGAGATCGACGTGTTTGTCAGGCGTGAGGAGATGCAAGGTGAGACCAATTGCGGCTGTATGGGAAGACAGACAATGCGTCCCAGAGAAGTCGTCGGCGCCGGGTGCGAGAGAAGGGGTTTAGACCCTTCGTCTATAAAATATATTCAGAGTGGACAGTGGGTTGAGGTGATTGGTCAACTGGCCTCATTAAAAATCGAAAAAGGCAGTCTTGCAATAGCAACCATGTGGCCAAGCGACGAAGCCGTCAACGTAACATCTTGCAGGCCCAACCCATTTTAGCTGAGTTTTCGTCTGTTACAAATTATTGAGGAAACTTTCATTTCGTGTAAAAGCGCATGATGAAGATATTATAAGGTCGATTTCACCA